TTTTTTTTTTTTTTTTTTCTTTTTCTTTCCCTCTTCTTTCTTCTCCTGGTTGAGCTCCGATCATCCAGTCATCCTGTCCAGGTTAGCAGAAGGACTTTTTTCTCTGTCAGCTCTGGGGAAAGGTCCTTGTCTCTTTTCAGCATTTGTAAGCCTAGCATTCTATAGAGACCTCCACATGTCTTGGCATCAATCTTCCCCTGGATCTGGGAGCTTCACAGTGTAGGGGCCTCAGATCAAAAGGTGCCCTCCACTTCCGGCTCATCTTTCTTAGTTGGAGTAAGTAGGTCCCTCTCCTTTCCTCTCTCTCCTTTTATGTCTTGTAAGGTAAAAGGTTTTGCAGACCACACCCTAAGGACACTCACTTTACAGCAGAATAGGGCTATGACAGGATCAAGGGTGCTGTATCCTCTTAGTGATTTTTCACATCAGATCACATCATGTGAAATCATTACATAGCTGCCACATTGTATCATTATGTAACTGTCAAACCATTGAGATTCACTGCCTAACTAAATAGACATTTATTTTGGGGGCGACATACTTCAGTCCATGACAAATATTTCATGTTGTCTTCTTGAGCCACTTTTTGAAATCATCTGTTTAGCTCTTTTACTTCATAATTTCTTGCTTTCATTTTAGCTATTGTATGTTCAAGAGCAAGTTTCAGAGTCTCTTCTGATATCCATTTGGTCTTTTCTTTCTTTCCTGTCTTTAGTTTGTTTGTTTGTTTTTCTTTCCTATCTTTTTAATGACCATTTGTTTTCTCCATGTCTTTGATGTTACCCCACAACTCAGCTAGTCTTCACTCATTAGTGTTCAATGTGTCACATCTATTCGTAAGATAGTCTCAAAATTCAAGGTAGTATTTTGGCATTTGTGGGCATAGTACAATATCAAGTCTTATTATATGTATTTATTGGGAGGAGAAACTGTTTAATTGAAAGCAAGCTTAAACATACCACTTGTCATCTTACATCTGTAGTAGTACATTTGAGGTATAGCTGAAGGACCATGCATACCATTCCTGACTTTGACATTTGCTAGCCATATAACTTTGCTAATCCATTTAACTTTTCTTAGCTTTATTTTTCATCTATGAAAGGATGAAATGTTGTCACTGGGTTGTTACAAGATTAAAAGAAACTATGTGTTTGAAAACACTTTGTAAATTGTTGTTATCTTTAAGAGCTGTTGAGTCACTTCTAACCCATAGAGAACTTGTATAAGGTTTTTTAGGAGCAGCTGGTGAGCTTGAACCACCAACCTTATGATTCAAATCAACTTTGCAGAACATTAACACACAATGCCACACCAGGACTCCTTATTTTGGCTTTTGTGGACATAACAGAATATCAAGTCTTATTATATGTATGTTTGGGGAGGTTGTTATTGTCAAGTGCTGTCGAGTCGATTCTGACCCATAGCGACCCTGTATAGGGTTTCCAAGGAGCAGCTGGTGAGCTTGAACTGCCGACCTTGCAGTTCAAATGGCTTTGCAGTCTGGCGCATTAACCCACAGCGCCACACCAGGACTCCGTATGGGGAGGAGCACACTGTAAAAATATAAGAAATTATTACTATAGCTGTCCCTTGGTATCCACAGGTGATTGGTTCATTGATACCAAAATCTGCAATGCTCAAGTTCCTTATATAAAATGACATAGTATTTGCATGATACCTACCCATGTCCTCCCCAATATTTAAATCGTCTCTAAATTACATATGAGAGAGCTTTCAAAAGTTCATGGAATAATGGAATTAAAAGATAATGGAACTTTTCTATGAACTTTTTGAAGCCCCCTCATAATGAAATAAATAGCAGTTAACACTCCTGATTAGCTTTTCAGGAATTGCTGTGACCAGTTGTTTCTTTTCTGAACATTTTCAATCCATGATTGGTTGAATCTATGGATGTGGAGAGCCAAATGAACATTGGATACATTGGGAAGTATTAAATTAAATTTGGGGGACATGGCTGTCTCTCTGATATCACATCTGTCCTTGTGAATATATGAAAACTCTGAAATATAATTTGATAGTTGTGAGTAAGTTGTTCAGAGCTATTATATTTCTTTTTCTCAGTTCATAGATCAGCAACAGTTCTACTTGGCTCTGGACAACAAGATGATAGTGGAAATGCTTAGAACAGACCTTTCCTACCTCTGTAGTCGTTGGAGAATGACGGGGCAGCCCACCATCACCTTCCCTGTTTCACACACCATGCTTGGTAAGAATTGTGTGAGGCAAAGAACAAAACCATTTTAAAATAAATCATGTTTAGTCCATCAATGACTTAGAGTCACTGGAGAGTTGCTTCTTATCACTTATTCGTTCATCAATTTTTTTATATCTTATTTTGTACTAGGTACTTTTCTAAGCACTGGGGATATAGGGCCAATAAGGCAAATAAGGTATCTGTTTTCATGAAATTTAAGTATCAAAGGCAGACAATAAATGTATATCAAATATACTAATGTGTGAGAATATTTTAGATAGTTTGATTGTTGAGGTTAAAAAATTGTTACAGAGTAATGGAGCTCTGATAATGTAGTGGTTATGAGTTGGATCACTAATCTCTTGGTCAGCAGTTCAAAACTACCAGTGGTTCTATATGAGAAAGATGAGGTTTTCTGATCCCGTGAAGATTTTCAGCTTCAGAAACCAAGCACATAACCACCAACAGTACAACAACTGGGTTGGTAACTACTTTAGATCACTGGTTTCTAGGGTCAATTTTTAAAACTTTATTAATGCATTTCCTTTTTAAGACAGTAATGCTACATTCTGTCTTATTCATTCCAGTAAAGAATCAAGGTTTGATATGGTCCCAGTCTTTTCTAAGACCTACCCAACTTAAGCAGTAAAATCTAGCAAGAAAAAAGTGAACAAGCTTTTGGGTTATCTTTTCATATTTGGATGGAGCTCCTGACATTGCATACTTGAAACTTGGTGAAAGGTTTTACTGTTCTCTCATTTTTTGGACTCAAGCTAATACTGAAGTAATTGCTTTCTTTTTATGTCTCTATTGTTGCTTCCAAAGATCTATTTATGGTGCCAAATTACACAGAATTTGTTTTTTCTAGAGAGGAATTTCTTATCATAAATCATTCAAAATTCAGATTATTAAGGGCTTCAGTCACATCTCAAAGGTGCTGGAAAAGAAGAGGAATTAAGAAAGTAGGTTAGTCATTTTTCTGTTTGTCTTTCTTCTTAAGACAATTAACAAGTACCCATTTAATAACTGTCTGCCTAAATGCTGTCTGCCTAAAATATAAAGTCTAATTGAAGAAGTAAAGCTAATACAGAAGAAGAATAGAAAATAATTCAAGAGGATATACAAACAAGTATTAAACCATTAGATTAGTATCTCACAGTGATCAAGTTGTCAGAGAAAATTTATTAACTGAGGTGAGACTTTTTGAAATGGGTAGTATTCACATGGAGAGAGAGAAGAATAAATGGTTGTTTAGGTAAGGGTAAAATATCATTAGTAAGGCCTAGAAGTAAAGATGAGTTTGACTTGTGAGAAGACAGTGGAGAGACCAACCTGAGTTGAGTGGACCTTATATGTTAGAATATAATGATAAACACAATTAAATCTGTAAGGTGAAGTCATATTATAAAGACTTTAAAAGTGTATAAAAGTATTCAGAAATATTCTAAAAACATTTTGTTGTTGTTGTTGTTTTGTTTCAAAAATCTGAAACTATCAAAAGATTTTTAGCAAGGAATGAAAGGCTGAAAATGATATTTAGGGAATATTGGTTTGGTGATAATACACCTTGTAGTGAAGAGAGACTGAGGCCAAGGAAACTAATTCTGGTATGAGGTGATAAAAAGATACATTAAAGTCATTATAAATAACACCTGTAAATCAGATATTGACTGACTAGATACCTGAGATGAATTATGATAACTTCAAGGTTTGGAGATTAGGTAAATTATGTTGCCATTGGTAGAAGCAAAGAAATTCTGTAAGGAATAGGCCAGTTGTAAAGTAATATATTGAATTTGTGGTGACAAAGAGACTAAAATTCAAACACCTAATAGTATGAGATATATAGCCACAGCTTAGGAAGTAGAATAAAACTAAAGATCTAGATTTAAATCATACAGTTTTAATACTCCAGACACATTCATACAAGAAAAGCACTAGGTACTTTATGTAATAATAACTACATTATTTATTAAGCATTTTCTCTGTGCCAGTACTTTCCGTGCATTATTTTTAAATCTCTACAACTACTTTATTTAGGTCATTACTATTAATAGCCCCATTTTGTAGTGAGGAAGCTGACTTGTCTGAAGTTATCAAGCTAGTAACAGAGCCAGGCCTCAGATCAGGTCAGTCAGTTTCCAAAGCCCACATTACCAATAACAGTGTGTTTTGTCAGGCAAACTTTTGTGCTAGTGAAAAACATATCAGTCATCTCAATAAAATGTGATTTAGTTAAATTCTTACATTAAAAGAAAGATTCCTAGAATATGTTAAAGAGTAAAATTTGGCTAAATGCTATTCACAAAGATATCCCTTAAAAAGTATTTGAAATATAGAAAATAAATGATTGTACAAAAATATATAATGTAAGTGCTGACAAAAAGAAAGTGGTGGCAATATTAATATCAAAAATGGTAGAATTCAGGGAGTAAATAAGTAAATGGAATGAGAAGACTATTTTATGCTAATGAAAGTGTAGTACACAAAGATGGTGTGACCTTTGTGAACTTTTATCTCCTGAATAACATCAGTGAAATGAGTAAAATAAAAATTTAGGAAAACACCAAGTACAAGAACAATATGATAAAATTAATGTACACTCATAGTGGGAAACTATAACATACCTCTATCAAAATGTCATACATCCATTTCTGGAAAAAAATATTAAAAATATAGAAAAGCTAAGTAACCAAAAACCTAGTTTTGTATTTTGTTGCTATTATTGTTAAGTGCCATTGAGTCAGTTCTGACCCTGGTGGGTTTGATTAGGCAACCTTGTGGTCAGTAGTCCAATGCTTAGCCTAAAGCACAACATCAGGAATCCAAATTTTGTATTTATAGGTGCATGTTGTTGTTGTTACATGTCGTTGAGTCGATTCCAACCCATAGCGACTCTGTATAGAGTTTCCAAGGAGCAGCTGGTGAGCTTGAACCGTCGACCTTGCAGTTCAAATGACTTTGCAGTCTGACGCATTAGCCCACAGCGCCACACCAGGACTCCTTATAGGTGTATACAACACTGTAAATACAAAATTTGGAGTCCTAGTGTTGCGCTGAAGGCTAAGCACTGGACTGTTAACCACAAAGTCAGTGATTCAAACCCACCATTTATAGATGTTTGCAACATGTTGTTGTTGTTGTTAAATGCGATTGAGCCAATACCAACTCATTATGACCCTATACGCAACAGAACAAAACACTGCCCAGTCTTGTGCCAAATTCACAATCGTTGCTACTCCTGAGCCCATCACTTCTGCCACTGTGCCAATCCATCTCATTGGGGGTCTTCCTCTTTTTCTCCAACCTTCCACTTCACCAAACATGATATCCTTCTCCTGTGACTGATCCCTCCAAATAATATGTCCAAAGTATAAGAGATGAAGTTTGACCATTCTGGCTTCCAAGGTACACTTTACTCTGGCTATACTTCCAACACAGGTTTTTTGTCCTTTTGGCAGGCAGTCCATGGTACTTTCAATATTCTCCTCCAACACCATAACTCAAATACATCAATTCTTCTATGGTTTTCCTTATTCACTGTTCAACTTACACATGCGTATGAGGTTATTGAAAATATCTGGGCTTAGGTCAGGTGAACCTTAGTCCTCAAATTGACATCTTTGCTCTTCAATACTTTAAAGAGGCCTTGTGCAGCAGATTTGCCTTTGATTTCTTGACTGCTGCAATCTCCAGTATAGTTTCTATCACCAAGGCCATATTTTCCAAATACCGATCCAACAATAATATGTACACCCATAAATGGTGGGTTTGAACCTCTGGTGTGGTGCTGTGGGTCAGCACTGGATTATGAACCTCAATTCTACAGTTCAAACCCACCAGCTGCTCCTCGGAAACCCTATACAGTGTTGCTATGAGTTAGAACTGATTTAACAGCACTTAACAACAACAACAACATATATATA